ATAAAACAGTAGAAATTATTGGAAAGTCAAGAAATATGGCCACTTGATTTTAACAATAAGGAGTGCTGGTATATAACGTGTAAGGTTACTAAATGAAAAGACAGCGGTTAAAATCCACCAGCTGCCCTTGAGAAAAAGACAGGCAATCCACTTCCTTAAATACATAGAGATGCAGATACTCAATGAAAGGCCTGTTAATAGAGTCAGAATCTATACTCTACGGCCATGGGTTTGATGTGGTTTAATTTTGACAGGGGTCCCAAAGCAATTCGATGAGAAAAGGACCAGTTTCAAGAAAATTGTACTGGGATAACTTGACATTCACATGCAAAAGAATATTAGAACTTATATCCCTACCTCATTTGATATTTAAAAAAAAAAAAAAAGATAGTTGGTAATAGAGATAACAAACCTAAATTTAGGAGTTACAATTATAAAGCCAAATAATTAAAAACAAACAACTTAAAAATTTAGGAACAAATCTACATGAACTTGTACTGGGTAACAGTTTCTCAGATGTGTCCTCAAAACACTGATACTGACACATATACAACAATATGAAGGAACCTGAAAATAAGACCCTAAGCAGAAGAAGCCTCAGTTCCCCAAAGGTTACATAATTACATGGTTTTACTTACATGGAACGTCCAGAATAGGCAAATTCATAAAAACAGAAATTAATGGTTGCCAGAGGCTGAGGGAAGAGGATGGGAGGTGATTGTTAAAGAAACAGGTTTTTTCCTAGGGTGCTGAGGGCAAGTATGCTTAGATATTAGCATACATGGACATCAAAGTATAGTATGTGACACTGATGAAGCATAAATACAAGCTCTGTTTATTCTCTAGGACTAAACAATGAAAATGAAGGGAAAAAAACTTGAAAAATTTCATGTTTCAGTATTAAGTTGCTACAAGACTATCTTCCTCACTGTAAGCACACGACAGCATAAATACCTGAACACACAATTTTACTTACTGATAGATTTTCACACATGGCGACATAATGTTTTCACTTTTCTAATGCAATGTGTCAGAAAAAGACAAGATGATTTAAAAGCTGACAATAAATCAGAATACAATCCATGCTATATTGGGAATAAGCAAACATTTAATGATATCTTTCCCAATGACATCTCCAAATGAAAGAATGTAGCTTCCTTAAAACAAAAACATTTTGAGTCATTTTTGTCAAACTGCATTTTAACAAAAGATCTTTGCAGTTGTTTCATTTTTCTCTCATATAGTTCATTCTTATCTGTCCCTTTGCGTTAACCTTAAGGTTTATATATGGCAAACAAGTTTTTTATTATGGTCTATTAGTAAACTAGATGGTCAAAGTTCTTTGTAAAAAACACATCAGATTTTATTTTAAGATAGTTACTTGACACCACAATTTTAACCTGATTAAGTTTAGTTAAATCCTAGCATAGGACTACTTATACTAGAACTAATGTACTATACAGAGAACACAGTTGACAACCAAACAATTCACATAGCTCAACTCAACTGTCTTCTAGCCAGCACTGACTCAGAACCTCCAATGGATTTCTGAGGCTGCAAACTAACTGCCTGAGAGGAGAATGCCCATTTTTCTCCAGCAGAACCACTGGTGGAATCAAAGAGTCACAGAAATGTGGCTTTTGAGTTAGCAGCCCAACTCCCTACAGACTGTTAACACCAGAGTTCCCTAAATAATACAAAGCATTAAGTGTTGTGACTGTTGTGTGACTCTGGGAAGTGATTAGCAGCTGATCCTCCAGCAGTTTTTCAGAGGTAGTTAATTACTTAAGAGGAGACGGCTCATCTTTCTCCCACCAGCAGGTGGATTCAAACTGTGTACCTTTGGGTTGGCAGTGCAGTTCCTAGTGTTCTTAAAAGTTTTTAACAACATAAATGAGAAGTATTTTAAGAAAATTGTATAAGAGAGCCTAAGAGTATACATAATTTTTTTTTACGTGGTATTAGTTCTATCAACATAAAAAAAATCGTGCACAAATTACAAAGCCAAGCACTAAATCAATGATTCATTCACTCACAGAACTGACTCACAGTAAACCCTTTAATGGGTTTTCAGTTGCTGCCTTGTGTGGGAGGAGACTGCCCATCTTTCTCCCACGGAGCAGCTGGTGGATTCAAATCATCTATCTTTAAATTGGTATTACAATTCCTTACGCACTAGTCTACCAGATATGGCTCCAACCCCAATGACAACCTTTAGTAATTGTCTGAAAGTAAACTTCAAAAATATCTCTGGGTGGCATAGTTCAGAGGGAGTTGTGCCACTATTCCAAATCCACTAGCAGCTCTGTAGGAGAAAGATAAGACAGGTAATGTCCTCCTGAACAATATAGAGCCGCTAAAGCCTGCTGGAGAGTTAGCTATGAGTTGGTTCTAACTTGATAGTAATTATGTCAGTGCCTCTACACACACACACACACACACAGAGACAAGACAGAGAGAGAGAGATCCAAATACAGTAAATTTCTGAAGCGTGGCTAGTACATTGAATCAGGAAATTTCTTCTTGTTTGGTGGTGGGGGGGGAGGCACTGACAGTTTAAACTCACCAGAAGGCAAAGGCAGCAGATTGTGTGGCCAAAAGATCAACTGTATAGCCTTGAAAACCTATGAGGAAGAAATGTGCTATCCAATAGGGTAGTTACAAAATGAAAGTGACTTGCCAGCATTGGGTTTTATTGTGGTCTGGGTAATGAAAATGGTTAACCACTCAACTACTGGCCTAGAGGCATTTCAGAAGACCAGCCTAGCAACCAATTTTACACATGTCACAGCCTTGAGAACTAATACAGAAGTTCTCATACATACATGTGGTCACCAAAAGCTGGAATCACCTCCACAGCAACTAACAATAATAAAACTACCATGATACAGAGCACAATTCAAAAGGCGGACAAAGAGAACAGTAGAGAGAGCAGCAAGAGCTGTGTGATTTTTTTTGTTGTTGTTGTTTTAAGATGCTACTGAGTAGAGCATGACTCTTAGCATCTCAATGAGCAGATCTCAGGCCCTGTCCTGTGCCATCTTTATCATCTCTGAAACAAGCCCATAGCTGCAGTCCCCATGTCAATTCGTTTGGCTAAAGGTCTTCCTCTCTTCTGTGGACCTTCCACCTTTCTAGCATGATACCCCTCTCCAAGGAATAGTCTCAACTAGCAACAAGCCCAAAATATATTAGACTTTGTCTATAAGGAGTACTCTGGCTGCACCCTCTTCAAGACATATCTGCTCTTTTGGCTGAAAACCCTATGTGTGAATTGTTGTTGTGTACCATCAAGTGGAAATGATCCATAGCTAACCCTCCAGCAGGTTTTCAGAGTCAGTAATCACACAGAAGACTGCCCTTCTTTCTCCCCCTGAGCACCTGACAGATTCGAACTGTGTGCCTTCAGGACTGGAGTGCAGATTCTTACCACTAAGCCACCAGGGGTCTTAGTGTGTCCTAGGTGTCCAATAAAGGTTAGATCTCTGTTTCCATATTGGCATTTGAGGAGTAGATAGTTTGATGACTTTAAAACCCTCAACTTAATGCCAGGTACAACTAGCTGTTTAGGCTTTTACCTAGTTTTTCTCCATGTTTACTCATAATTTGGCACTGCATCATAACAAAAGAGTCACCCCTATAATGCTTGACACCTGTATTTCTCAGCCTTTGGTTCTTTTCCCATTCTCATGATCCCACTGCCCAAGCACCTCAATATAGAAAGATGATAAAAGGATGAGTAAGCTGCACGTTATAGCCACTCTTTGTCAAAGAGGACAAACACAGCACTGGAGGTGGAAAATGAGGATGAAGAGGTGAAATGCACAGCTAAGGAGTTCCTCTAATGAGCACACAGTTACTAGCTTGCTTATTAGTTATCGTTCCCTCTGCAGTCACTACAGACTTCAAACGCTCCTTTTTCTTAGAAACAAGAAAACATGTCATTTCTTCAGGTTTTTGGTTGTCAAAGACAATGTAAAGCCAATCTGAAACATGACAGGAAGCATTTGTCTTCTGAGATCTGTCGACTCCCCATTTAACCTCAAACTACTTTTATCCCATAAAACGGGAAAGGGTCAGAAATTTTATTATGCTAGTCTTGGGGGGGGTGGGAATAAAACAAAACTTTTGATTACTTCAATAACCTAGTTACCTGGCCTTATTCCCCCTTCTCCTCTAAGAAATATAGGACACCCAAAGACAGATACTTCTTTTTCTCTAACTTCCTATTTTGCCCACTGACAGGTCTAGAGAGCTTCTGAAACGCTATCTTTTAGGTTACATCGGTGGGAAATTTGCCCTCACTAGTCCAAAAATCCTTAAGTCCCTAGCTTTCGATAAAAAGGTTGATCTTCACAACTGACAGAAGGAAAGGTCTCTTTTTTTTGTTAAAATCCCAAATACTTTGAAAAGCAAACAAGTAAAAAGGAATGCTGGCAAAGATCAAGGCACTTTGCACCTAAACAAATAAGAGTGACAGGTGTGACTACTCTCTCCTGCTAGTGTCTCACGGCAGAGTCTACAAGAACAGTAATAATTTTTTAAAAAGAAAATGCTTAAACTTACACCAAAAAAGCCATCTCCTTCCTGCCTGGTACCCCTTCCAGACTGACCCAGCTGCCCACCACACAGCAAGCCCGGTATGTCGCACGGCCACCTCCTACTCCCCGGCCACTCTGCGTCCCCACAGTCGTCCTTTCTCCCCGGTCACTCTTGTGTCCCCACAGGCGGCCAGCCTTCCTCCCCGGGCTCTCTGCGTCCCCACAGTCAGTCTTCCTCCCTGGCCACTCTGTGTCCCCACAGTCAGCCTTCCTCCGCTTCAGGGAGCAACCTGTCCGTGTCCCGAACAGCCATTACCTCCGTTCAAAATGGAGGGCACCGCGGGTCGTCCGGTTACGAAACGCGGTGCGCGGCGCAGCCTGTTCGCCTGCACATGGCGGCACCGGCTCCGAAGTTGGCAGGCCCGACAGGCCTCGGGAGCCCCGCCCGGCGGCACTTACCCACGGACCGGTAGCCCAGGATGGCGATCTTCCGGGACTTGGACTGCGGCATCTTCTCGGCCTCCCAGCCCGGCCCCGAAACCTCACCACCCGCGGTGGTGCCTCGAGCTGCTGCTGCTGCTGGAGTGGACGGCGGCAGCGGCCGCGGGCAGCCACATACAGGGCGCGGCGGCCGAGGCTCTCGCGCGCTTGCCCGCCAGGCCCTCACGCCAACCGCCCGGAACAGACCGAGCGCCCCGCCCCGACGCGCGCACGTGACCGCCCGCCGGCCCCCTCGACTGCCGTCACTGCGCCCTGCCCGCCCCCTCCACCAAGTCCAAGGCTACGTGCGAGGTGCGCTTTACTTTAAAGGGAAAAAAGGGGACGCACAATTTTCCCCAAAAGTCACGACTTAAACTCGCTGCGTCATTACCCTCCCACCAACTTCCGCCGCTCACTAATTACGCCAGCTCTAGCTGAGCGCTGATTGGACTGTCCTTGCCCCGCACGTGGTGATGCAATGGAAGCCCCGTCTCCCATTGGAAACGGCCGAGAGGAGGAACGAGGGGTGTGCCCACAACTTCCCCTGGCAGCCTCAGCCTTGGGGCTAAAAATAAACCCGGCCAGCCAGCACGCCATTGGGCACCTGCGAGCCTGGGAGGCCTGCCTAAACGCCACTGACATCAGTAGATCCTGATTTATCGTGACCCTGTAGGCCAGCGTGCACTGCCTCGTAGGGTTTCCAAAGCTAGAAATCCGTGACAGAAGCAGACTTTTTTCCCTGTGAACCAGCTGGTGGGTTGAAACCACCAACCTTCTGATTAGTAGCCCTGTCCCTTAATCAGAGAAAGAGCTAGGTGGTGCTTGGCGGGAGCAGCGGTGGGCAGGTCTAAAGCTAATGCCTGCACAGCCTTTCGTTGCCATATAGGCGATCTACCATATATTCTTGTATATTTGAAGACGACTTTTCCCTTGGCTTTTTCTTTCCTTTTTTTTGGTAACAATGTTTAAGGCTGAGCTTAAGGTAGTCACTGAACGTCAGAGTTTATTTACTAATCGTATTTGATTAGAATGTTGCGAATATATGTTTAAAAGTGTGCGGTTAGATTGTGATGTCAACTGAACTGAGGGTATCTTCATGCCTTTCAATTAACAGACCTGTTTTGAATACAGCACAACTTTTCATTACAAAGGCTTGTGTGTGTGATAGGATCTCCGGTTGTTTTGTGTTAAGCATAGGATAGATGCTTCCAATTTACTAGCAGTATTTCCTGGAAGAAAAATGGGCAACCTCCTCTGGTGAAAACTTAAAATCTGGGGGATCCGGTACAAAGTGACACCATGACTGGTTTTTTGGATGCAAAACTGGAGACATTAAAGATTGTACATTCAGACATGAAAATGCAGTCTTTCTGAAAGAGGGCTGAAGCTGGGTCACCTAGGTTTTGTTGTTGTTGTTGTTAGGTGCCGTTGAGTCGCCTGGAACCCTATGTATAACGGCTATGAAGCTTGTCCTATCTTGAGCCCATCTCGCTGACTCTTAACTCACCTACGCCCATTACCCCAGTTATTGTATCAGTCCATCTCATCCAGGGTCTTCCTTCCTGCCCTGTCCCTCCACTCTTTCAAGAATGATGTCCTTCTCCAAGGACTGGTCTCTTGGCCACAGGGACTAACCACATACAAAAGTATGTGAGATGGAGCTTCAAAATCCTAACTCCAAGGAGAAACTTGGTTTCACCCTCTCCAAGAAAAACTTTTTGTTTTCTTGTTGGTTCATGGTATGTTCAAGACTCTTCTCCAGCACCACAATTCGAAGGCATCAATTCTTCTTCTATCATCTTTAGTCATTGTCCAACTCTCTGATGCATAGCATGCAATTGCAAAGACGGTGGCCTGGATCAGGCGCACCTTAGTCTCTGGACTGACATTGTTGCTTTTCAGTACTCTGGAGAGGTCCTTGACAGATTTTCCCAATGGAATTTGTCTTTTGATTTCTTGACTGCTGGTGCTAAGAGTGTTGATTGTGGAGCCGAACAAGCAACCTCAATCTCTTCTCTATCAATCTTGGTGCTGACAATTGGCCCAGAGGTGAGAATCTTTGTCTTCTTGATGTTGAGTTTCAAGCCATATTGAAGACTACAGTCCTTGACCTTTTGCAGCAAGTGCTTCAGGTCCTCCTCAGTCTCAGCAAGCAAGGTTGTGTCATCTGCATAACATAGGTTGTTGATGAGTCTTCATCCAGTCCTGATGCCACATTCCTCCTTATAGAACATAGCCTCCCAAATTATATATTCTACATATAGATTGAAAAGGTTTGGAGAGAAGATGTATCCCTGACACCCTCCCTTCCTGTTATTGAACCATGCAGTGTTTCCCTGCTCTTTTCTGACCACTGCTTCCTGGTCCAAGTATAGGTTTCACATAAGCACAATCAAGTGTTCTGGGATTCCCAGAAATTAGGCAGCTAAATTGACACACAACTTTAACAATCACTACTATTTTCTATGAAATTTGTGCAGCCATTGCAACAAATTAATGAAACCAGTAGAGAAATAGAGAGTGCCTGGGAACATGCCTAGTGTCAGAATTAGTAAAATGGTTGAAGAGAGAAGGCAGCCTTGAGCCATGAGGGTCTTGATTCTCTCCTTGTTGAAAAGTTAGAAGTGGTCAGACCTCCCTATGTCATTTTTTTTAACCACTATGTTATTTTTCAAATTAATTTTAATGAAAGTTTACAGAGACTTTGGATTTCCAGTCATTCATTGTTTCACTTTTCTCCCTGCCGAACCTCCTCCCACAGTTCGCTCGTCTCTTAGAAAAGTAAATTTCTTTTATTGTTTTCCAATCCCTCCCCCAAAGTCCACTCCACTATGCAGCCTTCATTCTGGACTCCCGTCATGACAATAATAACTAATCATATATCCCTTTTAAACAGTTCTCTCCCTTATCTGTTTAAATGCAGTATACATAATTAATCCCATCTTTCCCAGTCTTCCCCTAACCCCGATGTCAGTCCCATTTTACAACAGTGGCACTATGCAGTATTTGTCCTTTTGTGACTGAGATAGTTCACTCAGCATAATATCCTCCAGGGTCACCCATTTTGAATAATATTGCATGAGTTCCTTGTTTTTTAATGAAGCATAGTATTCCATTGTGTGACTATACCACAGCTTCTCTATCCATTCATTTTTTGATGGGCACTAAGGTCGTTTCCAACTCTTTGCTATTATGAACAAAGCTGCAATAAATATGGGTGTGCATATATCTGCTTGGATGTCAGTAATGTTATGTTTGGGGTATATTTCCAGTAGTGGAATTGCTGGGTCAAATGGTATTTCTATTTGAAACTTTTTAAGAAATGAGAAAGCACCATACTGCCTTCCATAGTACCACTACGTTATTGCTTAGAAAACTAAATATCCAAAATATGAAGAAAGATTTATTAATCTTTCTGTACCTTTTTTATTATGGAATTTCCCCCCCCTTCTTTGTTGCATGTTTTCCTCCCTCCACTGCCCTTCCTGGATTATGGAATATTTTAAACATGTATGCAGAGCAGATTATCCAGGAGGCTGGGCACTATGAGGAGAATTGTGGCATCAGGATTGGTGGAAGATCTATTAA